GCTGACTAAAACCAACATGGGGGAATTGTGCCATCTAGTTTTTGTCCCAAATGCAGGCACCAAAATGATGGGTGCTAAATTCGGAGCCTCTTCTGAAATGGTGCTTGAAGGGGAATGGCAAGGAGGACCCGCCTTTTGTTTCAGGGGGCCGATTCCGATTCTGCAACCCCTGGCTCTTCCAAGTTGGAACCGAGAGGAAACTTCCATTTCCGAGAGCCCCATAAAAACAAAAACTGAACGGCATTCAGTATGTAGTAATAGATTCCCTTTGAACTCAAGCAGAGAAGAAAAAAAAGAAAAAACACCAGAAATCATGAGTCTCAAGCCACTGGAAGAGCAAAACTTCAAGAAAGCCCCTCCAACCTCCCAACTTATCCATCCAACTTCCGCGCCTTGGACCTCTGCGGCCGTAAGCGCCGACTCGCACTCGAGGCCAAGGTGAGCAGCACCACCACGCCCAGCGCGAGGTGCGCCAAGTGGCCCCCCCGGAGCAACGCCACCAGGAAGCCGACGCAGACCACCAAGCCCACAGCCCTCACCCGCGGATCCCCGCGCACCTCATGGGAGCCGAGCAAAAACCGCGGGGGGGGGGGGGGGGAAAAGCCCGGGGAAAAACGGGAAAAGGGGGAACAGGGGGGGGGTTTGGGGGGGGGGGGGGGGGGTAAGCAAAACTTGGGGAAAAGCCAAGGGAAAAACGGCCGGAGGATTTGGGGGCGGGGGGGGGGGGGTCAAGCAAAACTCAGGGAAAAGTCAGGGGAAAACACGGGGAAAGGGGGTTAGGGTGTTTAGGGTGGCAAGGACTGAGCGAAAATGAAGGGGAAAGAAGGTCTTGGCGACTTGTTCAACCCAAAAACGGTTAGGAAACATGGGTGGTTGATGATGGTACAAAATAAGCTACAGCTCAACCAAGATCTGGGTATGTCTTGTCCTGGAGTTGGTGCAGGTTTTGACCCATTTGGGAAATGTGGGTAGATACTCAATACATGTACCTCAATTCAGCTTCTCCTTGGTTGGTGCTTTGGACTGGTGATTTGGAGTCTGGGTGGTTTCCCATTGCTAGTTCTGACAAACAAAATAGATGGCAGACGTGGCGCAAAAAATTGGCGTCTCTTTCTTTGGGGGCCCCCCAAAATGGTGGGCCTCCTCTCAAAAAAAAGGGCCCAAGACACCTTCATGGAAGGTCCCGGGCGGATGGGCCATTTAAGAGGTCCGAGCCTTTTGGCTTACCTGGACCCTCAAACTACCCATGAAAAAGGGAGAGCACCAACCATAATTATGGGGGTCTTTGACCCATTTTTAAGGGAACTTTGAGGGTTCAGGTACCACTAAAATGGTCTTCCCAAAGCTTCACTCTTCCCAAGAATGGTCTTCTGAAATGGTCTCTTTTACCACAAAAAATGGCCCAGGAACTCAGGACGTGAGAGGCGCAAGCATCATTTTGGAAGAAGAGATGCGTCCCAGGCGCAGGGCGGGCGAAGTTCATGGATCCGATCTGGCTCTCATCAGCAAAAGGCATTAATTAAAGCGGGGAACGGGAGTGAAATTCTGTCCTTGGTGAGCTACCAGCATCTTCTGACCTTCGATGCGTTCCATGTGTATCCCGATGTTGCCGCGTTTTTTTTTTGCGATGTGCGATCGGTTTCAGCTCAAAGCAACGGCTCGTCTCTTGCTTCGGCGCCCCCGGGATTTTGCCACGGACTTGCTGTGAGCCACCTGGTGAAAGACGCTTGGCAGAAACCGAGCACACAGGACTTCGAGCACGCGAGCGCATGCAGCGGCCAACTTTTTTTTGCTCACCTCTAGAAACCGATCAGCTTTGGAACTCACACCTTGCACTCGAAACCTGGCGCCAACAACAGCGCGTGCCCAACTTCGGGGGCCGGGGAATTGGCCGCTCACGTGCTCAACGTGGTGCGGCGAGCCAGAAGGAGCCCTGAGCCAGCGCCGTCATGAGAGCAATGACCTGAGATTGAATGGCCGGGTTTCTTTCATGCCCGAAACGAAGCCCCCGAAAATGCTGGGCTGAGCTTAAGATTGTGACGGTTTTGAGTGGGTAAACTCAGGGGCTTAGGAACATGCAAGGCTTCCTAGGCGGATGGACCCTCCCATGCACCCGGCTGGTCTTCTCGCGCGGCTCATCTGGGCGGCGCGCATAATATGGCAAGCCAGGGATGCTCCGACCGCCGGTGGTCGCCTGGGCGCGCAAGAAAACCGAAGGCAAGGTGAGTCGCAATCAAAAACCTAAAATGGTCTACCCAGAGCCATGTGCAGGATTTAGAAGGCGGCCGCAGCTGGTTGGGATCGTCCCTTACTAACCTTCATCTACCCGGGTTTTGATTGTGCTGTCCGTTTTCAGATCCCCTGCTACAAGTTCTTAAGTTGTGGGTGAAATGGGCACCAACCACCAAACCAATAAGAAGCGAAAAGCCTAAGGAAGCGGATGCCGATCGGGAACCAAGTTAAGACAGGCTGCCCAATTGAAGAGGTTGCTGTACAAGAGCGGGGCCAGCACCTGCAAGCAACGCGAAGGGGACAAGCAGGACAAGCCGCTTTTTCGGCCTTGACATATGCCAGCAAGTTGGCCGTAGCGACCACCACTTCTGCTCTCCCCAGGCCGGCAGATTCACTGTATGTCCTTACGGCACGAAGGCTTTGCTTCGCGGCCAAGCTGCAGCTCAGTTCGGCCAAGCTGCTGCATGTAGGTTGAAATGGAGTTGTTGCGCATGGTGCCAAAGGTGGTCAGGAACAAAGCCTAAGACTCTGGACTGGTGTATGGTTGGGCTAGAAAACAAATCACCCAAATCTCACAAGAAGGCTCTTCCCAACAAAGCTGGCAGCGGGCTTTGGAAGACTACAGGACTGGTGAAAAGGTGCACTTCCTTTGGAAAAAGGGTACTCCCGATCCTGAAAACCGCCCGTTTCGGTCCGGGCCAGTTTCGTGAATCCAAGCGACATTTTCAGGCGGCACTTCCCAAAAAAAACTTCAGAAAAGTCTTGCTGGGATTCAAAAAGCCATAACAAGCCTCTCGCAGTTTTGTTATACTTTGGATGAAAGAAGTCCATTTCGCGCCACTTTGAGAAACCAGGGTTGAAACCATTGTTGGTTGGCATCAGGGGAATCATCACTGCGTTGGGGTTTTTAGGTGGCGCGAAACGGACTTCGCAACCATCCACATGGAACCCGAGCCCGCCATCTTTGGAGGAACTGGGTGGTTCAGCGCCACCGCCAGGACAGTCCTGGGGCTCAGGCCAGGAACGCCTGTGGCGTGTGCCGGGCTGAGCCCAGGGTCAGCATCGCCAGAGACCAGAAGGTGTTGGAGATCAACGTGGAGACCTCCGGAACCAGGGGTGCGGGTTTCATGTTTCCAACGAAATCCATCGAACCAGCATCTCAGCATCTCTCCACGCGCATAAATTTGCGCCAGGCCTTGAGGGCAGAGAGCTTGGTCTTCTGCAAGAAATCCAGAATGAGCATGGTCACCTTGCCTGAGTTCAACATGCCCACCATTCTCACCAGAAACGCGTAGGGGACCCCATGCTCAAAACAGCACACAAGCCCATACCCGCATCAAGAAGCCGTCGAACACAGATGCTGACCAGCAACGTTGCTATGAACTTTCCGATTTCCCGGGGTCCCAGCCACAAAACGGAAACCGCACCTGGACATTTGGGCAAGGCGCCGCCTGCAATGCCACACACCCCGCCAGCCACCGCCTCAGCTCTCTCGCGCTCGCGCGCTCCCCTCGGCCTAGCCCCGACCTGCCCAACTCGACGGGCGGCCAAGGCTCGAAGCTGCCAAGCTCTCGTGGGCCATACTTCAGGGTGTTGATGAGGAAGATGTTGTTGATGTCGTTGAGGTTGAACTTGGTTCATGTCAGCTGCCAGCGGTCAGGTGCTTCAGAAAGATGTGGGATTAAGAGGTTGAGGCTCACTCACTTGGCTAGTGACCAGCCCCAAAAAAGTGCCACCACCTTTTGGGCCACCACTAAAATAAAGGGAGAGCCACCAAGGAAGAAAGTGTAAAGTGTGTCCAGTGGCTGGGTGAGTTCAGGTCTGTAAGCTGAGCGGTCAGGTGGTTCAGAAAAAGATATGATATTCAGAGGTTGAGCTTGGTTCATGTCTGTAAGAAGTAAGCAGCAGTCAGGTACTTGGTTCATGTCTGTAAGCAAAGACTCCCAAATCTTGGTTCATATCTGTAAGGAGCCTGCCCTCGTTATTTGACCAAAGTCACCGGGGCTCTCAAGTGGTAGGTTGAAAGGAGTCCACCAGACCTTCTGACTTGCTGCTCAGATCATGACCCCAAGCAAAGGGCGCGGAAGGTCAACCGTGCAACATGTTGACACAGGCCTGACGGCTCGGACACAGCTGCAAGTCCAACAAACCTGCGAGGCTTGGAATCGCCAAGGCGCGCCGTCCCCAAAGGATTGCAGAGCCGTCGCCTTAGCAAACAAGCAAAGAAACCAACCTAGCAACCCAACAAACGAAGAAGCCCAGCAACCCAGCCAACCAACCAAGAAACCAACCAATCAAACCAACCAACCAAGCCACCAACCAACGAACCAACAAAGAAAGTAAAAACCAACCAATGAGACAACCATCCAACCAACCAGCCAGCCAGCCAGCCAGCCAGCCAACCAACAAACCAACCAACCAACAACCAACCGGCCAGCCAGCCAGCCAGCCAGCCAGCCAGCCATTCAAAAGAAGGTTGTTTCAGCAACAGGAGGTTGTTCATCCAAAACGGAAGTTGCTTCAACAACAAGAGCTTGCTTGTTCAAAAGGAGGTTGTTTCAACAACGGGAGGTTGTTTATTTCACAGGGAGGTTCTTTCAACAAGAGCAATGGTTGCTCAAAACGAGGTTGTTTCAACAACAGGAGGTTGCTGACTCAAATAGGAGGTTGTTTCAACAACAGAAAAATGTTTGTTCAAAACGAGCCTGTTTCAACAACAGAAGGTTGCTTGTTCGAGAGGAGGTTGTTTCAACAACAGAAGGGTGCTT